TAACAATACATTTCAATCGTTGTAATATTTAAATAGCAATTAAAAATTTGTTTTGATTATTAATGCTTTATCCTTGTATAAATTAAATATTTTTGAACGTAATATCAAGAGAATAATATACAATAATACAAATAAAACGACATTTTGTTATTAAAAAGTCGGGAATTAGTATATTTACTTTAGGTAATCTCGGGTAATCCATGATTGCCAAGAATGGCGACATGTCTCATTTTTTGTATTTAATATAATGAGCTTTCGGTAGAAATTAGAGTAATATGCATTATTGTACATTTTTATTTATCGAGCGGACTACAAATCATTTTTTCTCGGAATGCTCACTCTGTCTGAATTGGGAAGACAACTCTGTTCCCGTTGTATTAATAAACCAATTTCTTGTAACAAATAAAACAACATTTTTGAACAAATTAAGCATACTAATGTTTTTTTGTATCACTTTCCGTTTATTGTTATTAAAAAGTCGGGAATTAGCATTTTTACTCTAATATATTGTTAGCTAATTTCGAAAATAAACAAACCAAATTAAAAAGCTCATTGATTGCTCGAAAGCTATAATATTATCGAGGGTTGTATCCGATTTTTCGTATTGTCTGTTTATAATTAAGCTGTTTCTTTAGTTAAGAATAGTTTTATCTGTTTCTCAAGCGCAATATTCTCTCTCTTATTCACCGAATGCTTGCTCTCTTTAACAGTCGTATGCTTAAACGATCTACCAAAAGAACGACTCATTTTGCTCGTGGTGTATTAAATGAAAATTAAAATTTGTTTTGAAAATTAATATGTTCTCTTTGTACAAGTTAAGCTTTTTTTAACTTGTATCATAAAGAAAATGTGCTAATGTATCTATTCTATAACACGTGGGGGCTAATTTCGGTAATTAACGAACCAATATTGAAATCTCTTCCATTGTCTTAAGGTTGTACCATTTTCGAGGTGATGGTAGCCAATTTTTAACATTTCTTAAATACAATGAAGAAAATTTCTTTTACGAAGAATTTAGCTTTCCTTCAAGGATAATTTTCATTTATCCTCGGAATACTTGTCCTCTTTAACGACTATTAATGTCTATTCTGTAATACCTGAGGGCGCATTTGGGATATTTATAAGCGGAATTGAATGCTTATTAATTGTATAAAACCTAAACTTTATCTATGTATTAACCAAATATTTTTGAACTTGTATTAAAAAGAGAATGTGTTAATTTGTCCATTGTGTACTAGATATGCGGTCTAATTTCGGAAGTTAACAATGAATGTTGAAAACTCATTGGTTGTTTGAAGACTATACCAATATCGCGGGTTGTAGCCGATTTTTAAGGTATTTTTATTTTATAAATAAGCAGTAGTTATGAATAGTTTTACCTTTTTCTCAAGCGCAATCTTCTTTCTTTTACACTCCGAATACTTGCTCTCTTTAACAGTCGTATGCTTGATCGATCGACTGAAAGAACAATCCATTTTGTATATGAAAAAGGAAATTAAAAATTTGTTTTGAATAGTAATGATTTCTCTTTGAATAAATTAAACTTTTTGGTGCTTGTATTAAAAAGAGAATGCGTTAATTTGTGTATTCTGTAATATGTGGGGGCAGATTTCGAAAATTAACAAACCAATGTTTAAAGCTTATTGATTGATTGAAATCTATATCATTATTGAGGCAAAGAATACATTGTGGCATACTTTTCATATTTTTTATTGATAATTAAGCTGGTTATGTAAGTAGTTAGGAATAGTTTTACCTTTTCCTCAACCGTAATTTTCTTTCTCTTATACTCCGAATACTTACTCTCTTTGAAAATTGTATGATGCTATACGATTGTTGAGAGTCGTTGCCGATTTTTCGTATTTTTAATTTATAAATAAGCTGCTTTTGTAGTTAAGAATAGTTGTACCTTTTTGTCAAGCGCAATTTTCTTTCTCATATACTCCGAATACTTTCTCTCTTTAACAGTCGTATGCTTAAACGGTAGACCTAGAGAACAACTCAGTTTGCTGGCTATATTTAAAATGGAAATTAAACATTTGTTTTGAAAATTAATGTTTTTATGTTTGTGTAAATCGAAATTATTGGTATTTGGTATTTCAAAGAGAATGTTTTAATTTGTCTATTCAGTAATGTGCGGAAGCTCATTTCGGAAATCTATAACGAAAATTGAAAGCTCATTAATTGTACTGAACCTATACTTCATCGTGGTACGAATTAAACATTTTTGAAGGTGTATTACAAAGAGAATGTGTCAATTTGTCTATTGTCTAATATGAGGGTAGCTAATTTCGGAAATTAGCAATAAAAGTTGAAAACTCATCCATTGTTTGAAAGCTATACAACTGTCGAGGGTTGTAGCCGATCATTTGTATTTTTTATTTATAATTAAGTTGTTTCTGTAGTTAAAAGTTATCTGTTTCTCAAGCGTAATTTTCTTTCTCTTATACTCCGAATACTTGCTCTCTTTAATAGATGTATGCTGGAACGGTCGGCCGAGAAAACAACTCATTTTGTATATGAAATAGAAATTAAAAATTTGTTTGGATCATCTTTACATAAGTAATCTAAATATTTGTGAACTTGTATTACAAAGAGGATGTGTTAACTTGTCTGTTGTCTAATATGTGGGTAGCTAATTTCGGAAATTAACAATCAATGTTGAAAACTGATTGATTGTTTGAAAGCTATACAATTGTCGAGGGTTATAAGATTTTATAATTAAACTGTTTCTGTAGTTATGTATAGTTTTATCTGTTTTTAAAGCCCAATTTTCTTTTTCGTATACTCCGAATACTTGCTCTCCTTAACAGTCGTACGGTCGAACGGACGACCGAGGGAACAATATATTTTAATCGTTTTAATATATAATAAATTAAAAGCTCATTAATTGTATTAATCGTATACTTTATCTTTGTCATCATCATCATGAGGTCGACAGTCCTAAAACTGGTTGGATATGCACCTGCATTCTTTCCTATCCTGAGCAAATCTTCGCATTTCCCATATCCTTAACCATTTTCGGACAGTGATCTAATTTAGGTCTACCTATACCCCTCCTAACTTCCGTTTCCGCCTCTAATATGTTTCTGACTAGACCTTCATGCTTGAGGTGTTCTACCAATCTATCTCGCCTATTTCTTATTGACTTCCATAAAGTTCTTTGTTCTCCTATTCTTTCGAATACCTCTTCATTTCTAACCTTCTCTATCCACGGTATCCTTATCATTGGCCGGTCACATCACATTTCCAACGCTTCTATCCTTTTCTTATCCGCCACGCCCACTTTCCATGTTTCGCACTCGTACAGCGCCGTGCTCCAAACATACACCTTTAACCTTTTTCGAATTTTTAAATTAACCGTTCGCGAGCATAGAAGTGATTTCTTTTTATTGAAAGCGACTGGACCCTGCGCTATCCTCTGCTTTATATCCCTAGTAGTCCTTCCGTCTTGACTTATCTGACATTCGCATTAGCAGTGGTGGATTATTACACATGGTAATTTTCCCTGTAATA